ACCATACAGATGTTACAGTGGTGAAGGGTTCTCAACAGGCTCCACCATACAGATGTTACAGTGAAGATTTCCCACCATCCAGATGTTACAGTGAAAGATTCCCACCATCCAGATGTTACAGTGGTGAAGGGTTAGTACCATACAGATGTTGGTGGTGAAAGGTTCCCACCATACAGATGTTACAGTGAAGGGTTCCCACCATCCAGATGCTACAGTGATGCTAAAATTTTGGCGGGACCAAAAATATATCAAACAGCTGGAAAAGTCTCAATTTCAGTTTTTTTTTTTTCCTGTTTTAGACCTTTTCTCCTGTCAGGAAAGATGTTTCCCTTATTCGTGTGCCTTATTTTGCATGTCGTGCGTTTCCGGACGGAGTCCAGGGTGGAAATTGGCCCCGCCCACCTGCTATCTGGATGCACCGACCCCTGAAAGCCGAACGGCTGAAGGTTTTTATGCATTTTCTCATTTAAAATGTCGTCTAAAAGCAGCGGCTTCACCTTTCGAGTTTCTAAATTAGCATGCAAACATTATATAAGGTGTTTGTTTAGTCACTTTAAACTGATTCATAATTAAATCTCTGTTTTTGCGGAGACTGAACATAATTAACTCCCCTCAAATGGGAGCGAGTCAGAGTCGGACTTTTGTCGCTTTTATTAAGCGTGATTGTCCCTTCTTTTATAATGTAATTCACATTTCGGAGGGCAAAGTGGACGCTTCGCTCCTGTAATTTTATTTTTTTCTACCGACTGGCAGATTCCAGCTCGTGTTGCCTTCCGAACTATAAATGTTTCAGAGTAGTCCCGAATGGCTCGAGCTCATCAAACACGAGCGGATGTGCTTCGGATACGACGTCGAGGCCATAAATCATTGAACGTAATTATCTCGTCCGGCTCGGGAAGCACAAAGGCATCTCTTTATATCTCTGTGTTCTCTCATCTCGCATTCCTCATCTTAATTGTTTATTTACACGGCTGTGAAGGGACCCAGAAAAACTTGGCTTCTCCAGCTGGTTCAAAGGGGGGGGGGGGGTCGCAGGCCCGGCCCGACTGGGTGGAGGTCCTGCTGGTAATGGGCTCGTTCCTCCCTCTGATTAAGTCGGTTTGGCTTATTTACTCCCCTGCAGGAATTTTTCTGTGGAGTAAGACGACAATTAGGGCAAAGCGGAGAGCGGAGAGCGGCTCCCTCCGTTTCCAGCCTCGCAGTCGGGAATAATGAGCAGGGAAAGAGATGCTGGAGACTCTGCAGAGAGCAGCTTCCCCACGTCCTCACATGGTTATTTGTTTATTCAAAGTGTGTGTAGGGTGTGTGTATGTGTGTGTGTGTGAAGGGGGTGGTTTGTGTTGGGCTTTGTGTTCTCCGCTTATGAAGCAGAAGCACTTCTGCACAAATGGTGCAGATTTGCTGTGTGATTTCTTTGCTTTTAAGTGGAATTTTGCCTTTTTTTTATGTGAGCAAAGCTAAACTCTCCATGAAAAAGATGCACATGTGCTGCTTTAAGATTTTGCGTCTGAGGCTGCTCACGATGAACCCTTTAAGGCCGGATCCCTAAAAAAAAAGAGAAAATTATATATTTTTTTAATTATAATGTAAATTTATTAATTTGGCACTTTAATAAAATATGGAGAAAAAAACAGATTTTAAACAATATTCATAATTTATTACTGTGCGATAAGTCAAAGTTCTTCTGTGTATCTGATAGTAAATCTACAGGGTATTGAGCAACGTTTTTACCATTAAATGATGCAAAAGGTCTCAGAAAAATGTATGTATTAAATATGATACATGTGATGTTACGAGTTAAAGATGCATTTTAACCTCGTTGTGCTCAGATGTGTAATCAAACATGAAGAGGAAATGTGAGTTGTGCTGGATAAAAGGCCTCAGAAACGTGTTAAAGGAAAACGCCTGCTTCTACAAATGAAGGCCAATAGTAAACAGCTCGGTTTGTTGATATTTTGCTCATCAGCTCTTTTTCTCTCCTTTTCTTCCAGCTCACCTGACTCCAAGCTAGCACTGAGGGGGGGGGGATGGATCAGCTGCTCCAGATGAAAGAGTTCAGAGCCGCACAGAAATCCATCAGAGGGGGAAAAGCGGCCGAATCCTGGGATACGAACAGAGAGAAGGAGGCGGAGCAAACTTTAAAATCCCTGTACGGTCAAATGAAGCTGCTGGGATCTGCTGAGCTAAGAGGAGAAGCCAAGAACGGCCCCGCTTCCAGATACCTCAGTCCACCTTAAATTGACGGCGGACTCCCCGAAACCGTTTGGACAAAAGGTCCATTTGCAAATATCCCAGAAATTTAAAGGCCACAAAGTCAGAAGCCGCTTTTTATTGTATGATCGTTTATCTGTACTGTAAGAACAAAGAAAAAAACTAATCTAATCTTTTGTTGTCCACACTTTAAATTGTTGAGCATTTCACTCAACAAAAGGTGAGAAAGCCTCTCAGAAACTGAGACAATCCTGCTTTATTTTTTTTACGAAAAAAGCCTGAAAATCACGAATCCCCCAAAAGCCACCAAAAAACCTAAAAAACTCAACTAATCAGCTTAATTTAGAACAGATCAGCATAAAGAGCACCTGAAAGAAGCAGAGCCTCTCAGAAACCGAGACAATCGTGTGTTTTTTTTAACGAACAAGCCTTGAACTCATGAATCTCCAAAAGACCCAAAAAGCCTCAAAACCTCAGCTCATCAGCTTAATTTAGAGCAGGTCGGCATAAAGAAGAGCACCTGAAAGAGGCAGAGGCTCTCAAAAACCGAGACAATCGTCCTTTTTTTTTTAACAAACAAGACTGAAACTCAGGAATCCCCCAAAAGTCACCAGAAAGCCCCAAAAAGCCTAAAAAACTCAGCCCATCAGCTTCATTGAGAGCAGGTCGGCATGAAGAAGAGCACCAAAAAGAGGCAGAGCCTCTCAGAAACCGAGGCAATTGTGCTTTTTTTTGAAAAATTAAACAAGCCTGAAACTCCTGAATCAAACAATCAAAGCAAGAAAAAGGTGAAAATGAGGTCATTCCTGCTTTTTCCAAGCCTTTTTTCCGAGGCTTGAAATGAAAATCCCACTTTGTAAAATTCCACTTAATTCTCACTTACTTTGACGTTGTTCAGCTGCTGTGACATTGTCATGACAGATGGATTCTCCTCATTTCCAGCTTTAATTTGATGGCATGAAAGAGAAATACCTCAGTTAGTTGGGGCACAAACCCCAGAGTTCACCTCTGCGTCTTGTTCTGAGTAAAAAAAGAACAAAAGCTCAGAAGAACAACAAGAGTTTGAACGATAATCCGACGGAGCTGCAGGGCAGAAAAGGCGAGATTCCAAACTTCATAAAAAGGACGCACAGCGCAGCGGTTTGGGAAAAGGATCTGGAGCCACACATGAAAGCTAACCCTAAAAAAGGAAGTGGATTAAAAACATAAACAAGAGACAGCACCCATTCAAGAGAGGTACTTTTTTTAAAAAGACCCAAGCTGCAAACCAAAGCTGGTCCAGTCTAGACTTCAGATGGAGCCAATAAACCAGAGTTACAGGCTAGTTTGACCTCTGGATTTTTACTTAATCCTAATGTCGGGATGGAAGAGTCCCATTAAGAAGGAAGGGGGCAGTTATGGAAGGATTTTAAGATGAACAGGATGCCTTTTTGATCTGGACGGACTCATCTGGACAGGAAAAATGTCAATCAAAAGACAATCTCCAGCTGAAGATATTCAGACTATCATGTGGCTTAATAGTTAAATATTTATAACTGTTGTATTTCAAAGCAGAAAATAAAACTAAATTAGTTTGACTAAGTATGTTAGATAAGCTAAACTACTGTGAGAAACCCTGTTAAAGAGCTTCTTGGTTGGGGGGTACAAAGGCCCTCCTGAACCTCTCTGTGGATCCTTCAGAGGTAAGTTATAGTAGCTATAAAATGACTCCGCTTCCAAAGTTCCCTCCCAAAGTCCAACCGGTCACCAAAGTTCATGTTTGACAGGATGTGTCACTTTATTGAAAAGATGCTGGTTAGTTTTTGTGGTCTCTGTTCATTAAAGGCTCTGTTTTTAGGAAATTCCAAAGCAAAGATCCAGCATTTCTGTGATTCTGGAGACCAGGAACCAGCCCAGAATGAGCAGTACTGGGGATGGATGGATGGATGGATGATGGTGGAGGGGAAGATGGTTTAGATGGATGGATGAGCGGATGAGTGGATGGATGGATGATGGTGGATGGAAAGATGGTTCAGATGGATGGATGGATGGTTAAGAACGATGATGGATGGATGATGGATGGATGGTTAAGATGGATTATGGATGGATGATGGATGGATGGATGGATGATGGTGGATGGAAGGATGGTTTACATGGATGTATGGATAGATGGATGGATGTTGGATGATTGCATTGACGGTTTAGAAGGATGAATGATGGATAGATGGATGGATGGATGGTGGTGGATGGAAGGATGGATGATGGTGGATGAAAGGATGGTTTAGATGGATGGATGGATGGATGATTGGATTGACGGATGATGGATGGATGGATGGATGAATGGATGGATGAATGATTGGGTGAATGATTGGATGGATGGATGATTGGATGGAGGATGATTTGATGGTTTAGGTGGATGGATGATGGATGGATGGATGAATGATTGGACGGATAGATGTATGGATGATTGATGAATGATTGGATGGATGGATGATGGATGGATGGATTGATAATTGGATGGATGGATGTGGGGGGTCTGGGGGGGTTCGGCTCTGTTCGGTGAGGCTGTGATGTTCCGGGTGTCTTTGCCTCCTCTCATCGATCTCTGATTCCAGCTCTGATCATTTGCAGGTGGTCCGCGCGGCCGCCAGGCGGGGAGGGCACGCGCACCTGTCACGTCGGCGGGCGCTCCCTATAGGACCCTCCCCCCTCCTCCCCCCCCCTCCCCCCCATCCTCTCGGCGTTCCCACCTGCTCAGAGCTCAGTCCGCGCGGCAGGAGCGGAGCTGCGCTGATCGGAGCCGCGCGCGCGCAGCCCGTCGCCTCGCGCTGAACCTCCGCGCGGAGCTACTCCAGTTCCCGCCTCTCGGTTCCGGTTCCCCGCGCCGTCCTCCGTCCTCCGCGGCGCCCCGGCTCGGCCCGGAGTCTCCTCCCGTCCACGGAGCCGCACGCACTGGGGCTGGAACCCCCCCCCCCCACCCCCAACCCCCCCGCACCCCCACCCCCCCGGCGGAGCTGCCCCGCTTTCCGCTCTGGAGGAAACAGACAGAGGAATATCTGACTCTGGCCGAGGGAGGAAACCAGGACGACGTCCCAGGTAAAGCCGCCGCGCGTTGCCCCTCCGCACGCGGGCTGTTCGGGCAGCGCGTGCCGCTCTTTTAAAGTTTCCAGCATCTCTGCTGTGCGCGCGCCCGTGTCCAAACCTCAGAGACGTCGCGCTTCTCCTCTCTCTGAAGTTTTACAGCAAAGTAAAGAGTTCACCGGTGAGAGGCAGGTGTTTTGGGGGCAGATTTGAGCGGGAAAATGCAGCTTTTGGTGCTCGTGCTCTTAATGAGCTCGTGATGAAGTGATGGGAATCGAACCCAGAGCGGTGGTCTCCAGACCAGGCGCCGGGGGGGTTGAAGCTGAACGGGCTTCTCCCCCCGCGGGCAGTCGGCCCCCACGACCGGCCGGAGCCCTGATTCATAGCGGAGCTCCACAGAAAGGAGCCCCGGAATGGAGCCCCGGAGCCCCGGAAAGTGGCCGTTTGGCCCCCCGCGTGATGACCGGCGGAGCTCTGTCGGGCTCAGCGGATAAAAACGGACCCCGGATCAGTTCGGTCTGGACTCAAAGGGGTTGAAGTTCTGTGAGTCCGGATCCGGATCCGGCAGACCAGGGCACCAGCTCCTCTCCAACGGCCGGAGCCTCTCCTGGTCCCCCGGCCAGACGCGTTCCGCCCGCGGAGCGGCAGCTCGGGACGCGTTCACGGTTCGCCGATGAGCGGAAATATTTCAGACCGGGCCCGTTTTTCTTTGCTCTGCCTTTGGAGATAAATGATAAATAATAAGCGATCAAATAGATATACAGTAGAACCTCTACATACGAATTTAACCGGTTCCAGGACCGACATCGTATGTTCAAATATTGGTATGTTGGTTAAAATATTCCCATTATAGAATACATTCCTATAATTCGTTCCAAAAAACTTTTATAACTCCTTAATAAATACTTCAGATAATTAAAAATAGCAATAAAACAAATGAATTATATAAGACAGATGTAAAAAGAAATTAAAAGGGTTTTTTAGTGGCTCTCTACCTCAGAGACTGAATGGAGGTTGAGGTGGAGACTGATATACAGGACGTACCCTAACTTACTTTGACTTTCACTACCTGAACTTTAAACTAACCTATCTTATTTATTTTTATTTAATCTTTATATTTTATATATTTCTATCTGTGGCATCAGGTGTCGAGTCGAATATTTGATCAAATTTTTCTTCGGATGTTGGAAAATTCGTATGTATAGGTGATCGTAGGTAGAGGTTCTGCTGTATTCAGGTTAAAAGTCAACCCTAATGCAGGAAAATCCAGACCTGGGAGCTTCTCTCCACAGCTCATCTCCACTTTGGGCTGTTTTCAGGTGGTTGATGACGTATTGGTCAGAAATAAGCGTCTGTGTTTGGGGCTTGTCCTCTTGGTTCTTAGTGGTGGGAGCTGTTAGTTTTACTCAAACTGAGAGAAATATGAGCTCATCCGTGTCACCTATTCTCTCCATCAGGAGACAAGCCCAGACTCCAGTTTGAGGTGATTTGGCTGTTTTCCATCAGATGATGGATGGATGGATGGATGACAGAAGGATGGATGAATGATTGGATGGATAGA